AGTGGCTAAGATTAATGTTTACACAAATTAGGAAAATGTTGTGTAGCCATAGTTTCTGGTGTCTTTGTCTCTTCGTGGACTTGTTTTTGGAAACATGTAGTCACGTATAGTGTCTACTTTTCTAAAGTAATATTCCTGAGGTCCTATTTTGAGATTTATCTTTCTTTATATTGAAAGCATGAAATGTTGACATATAAGATTTAGTATTGGTGACATTCAAATTAATTCACACTTTTCAATGGTTTGTTAAAATAAACACTTGGCCTAATCCAAACCACAGTATACACAGTAATCCACTTTCAATACAGATTTATTTTCTGCATGAAATTAACAATGTATGTTTATATCGAAAAATATGCATGGAAATAATCCAAAAATTCATGAGTTGCCTCGACAAGTTCTATGGTTGCCCTGGTAAGTTATATGAACTGTCCATCCCTGAATGTCTGACATGGGAACCAGGTCAAAAACCAGTAGGATTTTTACTGTTTGCTGGAGAAGATCTTTTCCAAGCTTTTAGCCCTTTTCTCCTTTTTGTGCATTCATCCACCGAATTTGTCTCCTGCAGGAGATAGCTTGATGTCACGGAAATGACTGGACCTGTAACTCTGAAGTAAATGAAACCCACGCAAACTAGGTCAGGAGGATATTTAATTTTTGAAAGAGCAAGATTACTAACAAGAACAAGATTCCTGATGGGGGCAGGTGGTGTAGGCCTTGGTTTGATTTCAAGTGGGAAACAAAATGAAAAAGTACAACTATAAGACTAGCTGGCTCCAAACTGGGCATCCATATTTGGTGGCGCATTTGCCAATGGGTGGTAGTTTTTCAGCCAGGAAGGGCGGGAGAAGAGGGATTACAAACAGGGATTCTTAGCATATCTGGCGCACTACTGCCATCTTGAGGATGTGCTTTAACAAATCCCACTCATAGGCGGGTGTTGAACAATGAGAACACATGGACACAGGGAGGGGAGCGCTACACACTGGGGTCAGTTGGGGGGAAATAGGGGAGGGAAAATGGGGGGTGGGGAGCTGGGGAGAGATAGCAAGGGGAGAGATGCCAGATGTAGGTGATGGGGAGGAAGGCAGCAAATCACACTGCCACGTGTGTACCTATGCAACAATCTTGCATGTTCTTCACATGTACCCCAAAACCTAAAATGCAATAAAATAAACAAATGGGAAAAAAAAAACAAATCCCTACGCCATTACAGCCTTCTCATGAGGACTACTTGGGGAGGGTCTGGTCTGCTAAGAGGTGGAAAAGGCTTGACCTCCAGGCTGGGAGTCCTTGCTTTCTCATCTAAGGCCTTAAAAGAGACCTGGACATTGGCATTATCTTTGTGTAGAACCTGGAGACTGGAGGTTCTAATAGCAAAGCCTGTAAACTTCCCTTGGGATAACCCTGTTGATTGTGGGCGGTACTGATGCTACCAGAGATCCAAAGACCCATTGCAAGATGACAGCACGTGAAAGCCTGCTGGCCCTTGCTCTGAGGGGCAACAACAGGAGACAGATACCCACAAGAACCTATATGTATGTTTGACTGGGTTCCTGCTGTCTTCCCCACACCTGGAGCAGCCGAGGCCCCGCCCCATGACTTGCTGTGCCAGGACTGCCTGGCAGCTGCTGGTTCACTCCAAGACCCTCACACTCCGCAGTCCAAGCCCCTCACACTCTAGGTTCTACACCAAGATCCCGCCAATGTCTAGGTCTCTCTTCAGGCGTTAGAGGAGAAGGCAAGAAGACCTCGCCTAGAGGCCAAGCCTCTTCCGCCTTCCCACAGATCAACCTTTCCTCCACAGCGAGGCTTCCTGGGAAGGAGGCTGTAGTGGAGTATTCTGTCTTTAAAGGATTTCCTCACGGGACATTAGTACTCCACATTTTCAGTGAAGCCCTTTCTCCTGCCCTTCCTCTGTGAAATAAGCAAACCAGAGATAAAGGCGCTACCAAACATGGCTGCCTGGAGATTTGTCTAGTTTTGTGCAACCTGGTCTTACTGTTGAATTCTTTGTTTTTTTCCACCTAAAAACAAAATGAGGCTTAAATCACCCATGCTCATTAGGAATTTTGTTTTTTTCACAAATATCATCTTCACTGTGTCTATCTGGGTATGATTTACTTCACACAATTACAGGTCCAGCAAGTTCCATGGTATCAAATGGTCTCCTTCAGGTGGTAAGTTGAGTGGATGAAGGTACAACAGCAAAGATAGATATCAAAGAGATAGATATCCAGTGCATGAAATTGAAAACAAGCTAAGTGAAAGAAGCAAGACTTTGAAAAAGGCCCCTTATTGTGATGATCAGTAGTGAGGGAAGGCAGATGAGTGTTTGCCAGGGGCTGAACAGAGAGTGGAATGAGGAATAATTGCTTAATGGGTCCAGGGTCTTCTTTTGTGGTAATGAAAATGATTTGCCAGTAGATATAGGTAATGCTTGCACTACATTGTGAAAATACTAAATGCCACTGAATTTCACACATTTTAAAGGTTAATTTTATGACATATGAATTTTACCAACTCAGTTTTTAAAAGTGCCAGTACTTTTAAAGCTGTAATTATTTCCATGAATAATGAATTATATTTGAAAAGTTCTCAAGTTATCGGTGAAGAAATCTTCTTTTAACAGTTATGCTGTAAGGTGGACTGGCTTGGTGCCTCATGCCTGTAATCCTAGCACTTTGGGAGGCCAAAATGGGAGGATCACTTAAGACCAGAAGTTTGAGTTCAAACTGGTCAACATAAGGAAACATCGTATCTAACATTAGAAAAACAAAAACATGCCGGGCGCGGTGGCTCAAGCCTGTAATCCCAGCACTTTGGGAGGCCGAGGCGGGTGGATCACGAAGTCAAGAGATCGAGACCATCCTGGTCAACATGGTGAAACCCCGTCTCTACTAAAAATACAAAAAATTAGCTGGGCATGGTGGCACATGCCTGTAATCCCAGCTACTCAGGAGGCTGAGGCAGGAGAATTGCCTGAACCCAGGAGACGGAGGTTGCGGTGAGCCGAGATCGCGCCATTGCACTCCAGCCTGGGTAACAAGAGCGAGACTCCGTCTCAAAAACAAACAAACAAACAAAAAAAAAACAAACAAAAAAAAAACAAAAACAGTTGTACCACAGAGGAATTTGAACATTAGGTTATAAAAGTCCATATTATATGTGCATAGGGAACAGATGATATCTAGCACAAACATTTGAAAAGTGATTATTTCTTCTCACTATATGAGACTCAGCATGATTTCTACTTTATAATTTTAAAGTTCTTCTAGAGTAATATATAAAAAAAACTTCAAGCACTCAAAATTATATATGGATGTATATATATTCAAGGAGTATAAGGGAATGCTGAAATTTTGTTCAAAATTTCAAGCAGTATGCATCCAATTATATTTAAAGTAAATTGTGTCGGGTGTGTGTGTGTATTTATTTCTGTCTGTAGGTATATTACAATATTTTAAATGCCATATATATTTATACGCACACACACACACACACACACACACACACACATATATATTACACAGTGTCTCACTCTGTTGCCTAGGCAAGTGTGCAATGGATGATCATGGGTCACTGCAGGATCAATCTCCCTGGGCTCAGGTGGTCCTCACACCTCCGCCTTTTATGTAACTGGGGCTTCCATTGCATGCCACCAGGCCCGGCTATTTTTTGTATTTTTTGTAGAGACAGGGTCTTACTACATTGATCGGGCTGGTCTTGAACTCCTGGGCTCAAGCTATGCATCTGCATTGGCCTTCCAAAGTGTTGGGATTATAGTTGTGAGCCACTGTGCCCGGCCAATGCTATATATTTTTAATCATACTAGGTGTTATAATGAGTATATGTTTGAAGATGGTATTTTTGGCCAACAAATTCATAACTTTAATTAATCTTTATATAAACGGAGACACTAATAAAGCATTCTGGCTTCATGTGAGTTGTGTGAATGCATCCATCTTACAGTTTTCTTAGGTTACACATCTAGGTGACTAAATGTGAGAGATGCCTATTTTGACTATAATTTTTATTGAATTTTGTTATCTTTCTTTTGAGATTTCAAAGATAAAATTTTAAGGAAAGAATTAAGAATAAAAATTTGAGAAGAATTAAAAATCCTAATTTTCTAGGTATAAGTATGTATAATACATATGTTTATATTGCGTATAAACACATATTTCTATTTTATGTGTGTATAAATATATGTATGTTAGATTTAAAAGTGAAAATTGAACAGTCCAATCAAGACGTTTTTTGCCAATACTTTATTGTCTAAAATTCAGATATTTCAACTTTCTTATGAGAATAAAAAAAACTCCTCAGGAATAAGATGTGAAACTTTTAACTCTTCAACCTTATGTATAGCTAAATTGAATTAAAATTTAAATTTATTGTGGTGTTTGACTGTATATATAGAACTTTTTATCTGCGTATGGAAAAAATGAGAGTAAATAGGGAAAACAGTTATCATTGTTTAATACAGTTTTATGACATTGCTTTTCTCTTGATCAGCACATGGTTATTTTTAACTGCTTTGCAAATTTCATGTCTTTGTTACTGAAGAGAAAGTATAGGACTGATTCCTAACTGAAAAACAATAAGACACATACACACGAAAATCATAGAGCACAGTCCTATGTGACAGCCGTTTAATGACGCTGGAAAATATTTGTATTTCAATGTTAAATAATGAAACCATAAGACAAAATCCTGTGATCAATCTGATTAGTATTTATAGTCATTCCTGTATTTGTGTCCATTAAAGTATGGCTGTGTGTGTCTTGTCAGGCTTGAGAGGTATCTGGACCCTTATGTTAGAGCCCCACTAAATAGCATCCTCCCCTCTATGTATAAGGCCTACTGATTAAGTCAGAACATGGAGTAAAACTCTCAGGGAACCTGAGTAGAGAATCAGGACAAGAATCACATGGCCTGGTGCCTAGCTTTGTTCTCCAAGACTTTAGTGGTGAGCTTTTTTTTTCTTCTCTCCTTAGGCATGGAAGCCTAAGGTCTCTCCCCAATACTACAAGACTATTTGATATCATAATAAAATACTGCAGATATGATGTGGCGTGAAAAGAGTAAAAATGGGAAGACTTGGCTGTGCAGAAACTGAGTTCTTTTTTTTTTTTTTTTTTGAGACGGGGTTTCGCTCTTGTTACCCAGGCTGGAGTGCAATGGCGCGACCTCGGCTCACCGCAACCTCCGCCTCCTGGGTTCAGGCAATTCTCCTGCCTCAGCCTCCCGAGTAGCTGGGACTACAGGCATGCGCCACCATGCCCAGCTAATATTTTGTATTTTTAGTAGAGACGGGGTTTCACCGTGTTGACCAGGATGGTCTCGATCTCTTGACCTCGTGATCCACCCGCCTCGGCCTCCCAAAGTGCTGGGATTACAGGCGTGATCCACCGCGCCCGGCCTGAAACTGAGTTCTTAAAAAGAGGAAATGCTTGATGAGGTTGTGTGGATTACATGTCAGTCCAATGGAAACCAAAAGCAAATGGTTAAGAGTGGAAATTGTTTACACAAATTGAGCAAAATGTTAGGTTGCCATAATTTCTGGTGTCTTTGTCTCTTCGTGGTCTTTAAAGAAATGGGTAGTGATGTATCTGTAAAAAATCAAACAAAGAACTGATATTGCCTACTTTACTAAAGTAATTTTCCAGAGGCCGAATGTTAAGATTTACCTCTATTTATATTGAAGGCGTGAAATGTTGACATATAAGACTTAGTACTGGTGACATTCAAATGAATTCATGCGTCTGAGAGGTTTGTTAAAATACACACTTGGCCTGATCCAAACCACAGTGTACACAGTCATCCACTTTTAATACAGATTTATTTTTCTGCATGAAGTTAACAACATATGTACATATTGAAAGATATGCATGCAGATAATCTAAAAGTTCATGAGTTGCCTTGACAAGTTATATGGTAGCAGTTTTCTTCGTTATTAATACATGGATTTTTTTTTTTGAGATGGAGTCTCAATCTGTCACCCAGGCTGGAGAGCAGTGGCATGCCTCAGCTCACTGCAAATTCTTGCGTCCCAGGTTCAAGCAGTTATCCTGCCTCAGCTTCCTGAGTAGCTGGGACTGCAGGTGCCCACCACAATGCCCAGCTAACTTTTTGTATTTTTAATAGAGATGGGGTTTTACTGTATTGGTCAGGCTGGTCTTGCACTCCTGACCTCATGATCCACCCACCTTGGCCTCCCAAAGTGCTGGGATTACAGGCATGAGCCACCACGCCCTGCGGATTTTTCTTAATATTTGTCAAGCATTATTCTTTAATTTACAAGTTGGAGAATGCTGTAATCCTTATACCTAAAAGACAAATTATAATACTCTCAGAGACACACACAAACATGAACACACACAGCCCATAAATTCTCAGGAAATACTTGAAGTATATGTAATGGCATGGGCACATGCTATGTTTTGATGTTAAATGATGAGACCATGAGATTAAACTCTGAGTCACCTTGACAGGAATTGAACGTATGTACTATGAGTATCATGCCATGTGGAGTATATACGCCATGCAGTAATGAGTATCACCTGGTTTGTCCTCTAATGGCTCATGTCAAATTGTTGTCTACAATGCACCACAAAAGGCTCTTAGAATAGGAAGAATTTTCTGGTTGCCTGACAGGGGAGCCAGGTCAAAGACCCCTGGGATTTATAAATTGTTTGCTGGAGGTCTTTTTAAAGCTTTAAGCTCTTTTCTCTCTCTCTCTCTCTCTCTCTTTTTTTTCTTTTTTTGAGACAGTCTCACTGTGTTGCTCAGGCTGTAGTACAATGGCATGCTCCTCGCTTAGTGCAACCTCGGCCTCCCAGGTTCAAGTGATTCTCCTACATCATCCTCTCAAGCAGCTGGGATTACAGGCCTGTGCCACCATGCTCGGCTAATTTTTGTATTTTAGTAGAGACAGGGCTTCGCCTTGTTGGCCAGGCTGGTCTCGAACTTCTGCCCTTGGGTCATCCCCCCAGCCTCAGCCTCCCAAAGTGCTGGGATTAAAGGCATGAGTGATGGCCTCTTTTCTCTTTTTTGTGTGTTCATCCACTGAATTTATCCACTGAAGGAGACAGTTTGATGCCATGGAAATTACTGAACCTATAACTGAAGTAAATGAAACCCACACAGAGTAGGTCAGGAGGATATTTAATTTCTGAAAGAACTAGATTCCTAATGAGGGCGGGTGCTTTAGGCCTCGGTTTGATTTCAAGTGGAAAACAAAATGAAAAAGTGCATCAGTAAGACCAGCTTGCTCCCAACTGGGCAAAATATAAGGCATCCAAGTTTGGAGAGCCTTTGTCTATGGGTGGTGGTTTTTTCAGACAGGAAGGGCAAGAGAAGGGGGCTACCAACAGGGCTTCTTGGCATATCAGGTGCTCTACTGTCATTACAAGGATGTCATTTAACGAATCCCTAGGCCATTAGTGTTCTTCCCATGAGGACTACCTGTTAGAGAAGGTTTGGCCTATGCGGAGGTGAAGTAGGCTTGGGCTACATGCTGAGAGTCCTTGCCTTCTCCTCTAAGGCCTTAAAAGAGACCTGGAACGGCTGGGCGGGGTGGCTCACACCTGTAATCCTAGCACTTTGGGAGGCCAAGGGGGGTGGATCACCTGAGGTCAGGAGTTCAAAACCAGCCTGGCCATGATGGTGAAACCCTATCTTTAATTAAAAAAAAAAAGGAGAGAGAGACATGGATATTGGTGGTACCTTGTGTAGAACCTGGAGAATGAAGGTTCTAATAGCAAAACCTGTAAACTTCCCTTGGAATAACCATGTTCCTTGTGCATGGTACTGATGTTACCAGCGACCCAAAGACTCATAGCAAGATGCCCGCATGTGAAAGCCTGCTGACTCTTGCTCCAAGGGGCAGGTACAAAAGACAGATGCCCACAAGAGCCTCCATGTGTATTTGAGTGGGTTCCTGCAATCCTGCCCACACCAGGAAGAACTAAGTTTCCGCCCCATGACTTCTGGTGCCAGGACCTGCTGGCACCTGCTGGTTCACTCCAAGCACCTTAATCTTCAGCTTCTACAGGATACTGCCAATGTTCCTGTCTCTTTTCAGGCCTTAGAGGAGAAGGCAAGAAGACCTAGCCTGGAGGCCAAGCACAGATCAGCCTTTCCTCCTCAGCTAGGCTTCCCAGGAAGGATGTCATGATGGCGTATTCCATCTTTAAACAATTTCCTCACGGTGACAGTAGGGCTCCACATTTTCATTGAGGCCCTATCATGGAGCCATTTTCACCCACCCTTCCTGTCTGAAAAAAATGGCACCCAGAGATAAAGGCGCCACTGAACATGGTTTCCTGGAGATTTGTCCAGTATGGTGCAACCTGGTCTTGTGACTGGTAGAGGGTCATGATTGCAAGTTTTGCAGGTTCTTGGCGTTTTGAACAAATAATTGCACAAAATGTCCAGCAAAGCAAAGCAAGAATGAAGCAACAAAAGAATGAAAGTGGGGGCTGGGCATGGTGGCTCAAGCCTGTAATCCCAGCCCTTTGGGAGGCCTAGGTGGGGGAATCCTGAGGTCAGGAGATCAAGACCATCCTAACCAACATGGTGAAACCCCATCTCTACTAAAAATACAAAAGTTAGCCGGGCGAGGTGGCAGTCACCTGTAATCCTGCCTCAGGAGGCTGAGGCAGGAGAATTGCTTGAACCCAGGAGGCAGAGGTTGCAGTGAGCCTAGATTGCACCATTGCACTCCAGCCTGGGCGACAGAGTGAGACTCCTATCTCAAAAAAAAAAAAAAAAAAGAAAAAAAAGAAAAGAAAAGGAAACCAGAAAACATGCATTGAAATGACAATTGAATGATGTCTCTTTATAAAATGTTTAAATGGCCAACCAGGCAACCAAATGTACCTGAAATTTTAATTGTTTTCTCAGGAATAAGGGATAAAGCATTGGTTATAAACTGTTTTAAACAATTTTAGTATTAGCTGGTTTAACAGTTTTTTATTGATATTTAATTAATTTTTTGTTTTACTTGGGTTAGTAGCTTTATACAAGGAAACTTGGTTATTTCTATAGTTTACAATAACTAAGCATAATAACTATAATTGTGATTGGTAGCATATACTTAGACATTATAATTTTAGAAATCCCATACAGTTTTGGAATATTTAGTAGTAGTATTCACAAAAATACAACCTAAAGAAGATTGGGCATCATTTTGGCAATCCCTCATACCTAAACATGTCAAATAATCCTGTTTACCTCTCTTTTCTGGACATTTCAGTGGTCTTCTGAATTATTCCAAAAGCCAGGTGCCAGGGAAGACAATTTTGCAACTGAAGTTTGATTTTGGGAATTCCAGATTACCACAAGTTATTTATTTTGCCAAAATGATGGCTCAGAAATTTTAAAGAAGCAAAAACCTTTTATAACCCTTCTGAACATTTTCACACAGAGAACCTCTTCTGCAAGACTGATTTCCCCAGTTCTTCCACCACTTCTTTGAACCTTCAGCTTTTTCCTAATTTAACTTAAAACAATCCTTTAACACTGGGCAAAAGTTGACATTTTCATGCCTTCTTTTAACCTTTTACTATAAAAATACATTTTACTGTTTTTATGCACCTTGCATATAAATCTATTTCCAGTAGTTTTAATTAATTCCTAGCAGTTTTACCTTTAAGGTAAAACATGGTAAGTTGCTTTACTTGTGTGCTAAGTGCAGCTAAGGCTTGTCTTCTTAGTCAAAGGGATGGCTGGTTTTATGTCCCCAGTCATCACCAATTGTGAAGCAGGCAAGACAGACAGTCCTCAAAACCTCAAAAGCCGTTTGTAACCTTAAAACACTTAGCAAACCTTGCATCTGACCTGCATAGTTTAGTTCACCTATTTTTTTTTTTTTTTTTGAGACTGAGTTTCGCTCTTATTGCCCAGGCTGGAGTGCAATGGCATGTTTTTAAGTTTTATCTTTATTTAAACTGAAGGCTTGACATGTTGACAAACAATGCTTCGTATTGGGACATTCAAATGAACTC